ATATTCAACAATTTCAATGATAATATTGTTAATTTCTTATATTGAATGTTTCATTTACACTTCTGATATTCTTTTCATCAATTTCATTTAATTATCATTTAAATGTTTATTACAAATTTAAATATTTTCATTATATCATATTTATTCATTTAATTCTATTACATTCATTAATTCATTCATTTAATCTTCTTATTAATTCTTGATTCATTCTTTTAATTATTTAATTTGACTTTCTTTTAATCAATATATCATTTCATTTGTTTCTGTTTTAGTCTTGTTATTTATTTTGATATTATTTACATTTTTGATATGTTTTTTTTTGATAATTATATTGAAATTATTTTTAAAGTAGTTTTGATGATGAAAATGAATGAAATTATGAGTGAAATAATTCATAGCATTTCATGATGATTATATAGTGTTATTTTCATTATAAAAAATGTTAATATTATACAAATAATTGATATTTCAGACATTCTTCTGTTATTTATAATTGTTTATTGGTATGAATTTCTCTTTCTTTCGTTATTTTTGATTTTGCATAATTTTTCTATTTTTATGATATATATTTTCATTGCCAATGAAAATATTAATGAAATGAATTGAGTGATAATATCATTAAAATAAATTTGCTTATTTGATAAAAATTGAATATTTTGAAAATTAGTAATACATAAATAATATAATTGTTATTATTGAGATGGATATTGAAAAGTGTGAATATATTAATTTTTTAAATATTAACCCATAAATAAGCTTCTTCTGTTGTTGAATAAATAATAGAAATCAGCTAAGAAATGTTACAAAAAATGAACTAGAAATAACTATTAAAGAGAATAAATAGTAATATTTCATTTACAGTATCTCTTGTTTTTCAAAGAACTTTATATTTTTTGAGTACGTGTATTTGTTTTATTATTTACTAATAACAACTCATTATTAAATGAAAGGATTTATTACTATCTTTTTTTTCTAATTAAAAAACAACTATTTAAAGTAAACTTCTTTTCTTTATTGTTTGTTTTTTCTTTGCTTAGTAAAACAAAACTTTTAGAACAATAAGCTTTGTTTATAAAAAGTTTATTTATAATGACAAAAAGAATATATAGAAATAAAATTTGCTTATTAAATATAGTAATTTTTATTTTCATAGTTTTATATTATGTACAAGAAGTTTAATTATTAAACTTCATAAAAATAAAATAGATTATATGTAATATAAATTAGTCTGAATTGTGATATATTAAATATATTATGAATAGACTTTATATATGTATTATATTATGATTTTGTTTGATTAAATATTATTTTTATAACGAACAACAAATATAAATAATGATAAAAATATTTGTTCTAACAAACAGCCTTATTTCTATAATAGTCTTAAAATATTTATAAATAGTATTAATAAAAAAGAGACTAAATTCAAATTAATTAATTTAGAATAAGATAACCACAATAATAGCAAAGAGAACAATGAATGGACTTGATGCAGCATCAAGATTATCATAATTATCTGAACTACTTCCTGGTTTATTATTTGAGCTTTCATTTGGTTTATTATCAGAACTTTCATTTGGTTTATTGTTTGAGCTTTCATCTGGTTTATTGTTTGAGCTTTCATTTGGTTTATTATTTGAGCTTTCATTTGGTTTATTATTTGAGCTTTCATTTGGTTTATTATCAGAGCTTTCATTTGGTTTATTATCAGAGCTTTCATTTGGTTTATTATCAGAACTTTCATTTGGTTTATTGTTTGAGCTTTCATTTGGTTTATTGTTTGAACTTTCACTTGGTTTATTATCAGAACTTTCACTTGGTTTATTATCAGAACTTTCACTTGGTTTATTATCAGAACTTTCACTTGGTTTATTATCAGAACTTTCATTTGGTTTATTATTTGAGCTTTCATCTGGTTGGTTATTAGAATTTTCATCTAATTCACTGTTTGAACTACTTTTTTATCTTCTTCATTTTCTATGTCATTTTCATGAATAGACTCTTTCTTTGAAAACAAATCGTAAAGGCCAACGTCTTTTAATTCTTGTTCGATATCAGGAATAACGTTGGTTGCAGTAGTGAATGCAATAAATAATAAAAATGCGAACATTGAATAATTTATCTTTTTCAGAACTTCGTTTAAATATATTATATGTCATCAAAAACTAGTCTTTATGCTCCACTCAACCCCTTTTATTTGAGTTGAAATTAATACACTTTATTCTTTTCATCTATTAACGTTTGTTCCTTTGTCTCACACAGATTTCCTAGTATTACTCACAAAAAGTATTGATGAGAAAAGTTTTCAATTACTTGAAGATATTTTATTGTTCTAATTATTATGCTTGAGTTAAAACGAATGAGAGAATTTCAGTTGAATTGAGTTGACTTGAATATTTCAAAGTTAGAAACAATCAAAAAATGAAGAAAAA